AGAGAGTGCACCAGATCAATCAGAGTTGCTAAGCAAGTTTTGAATAACTCTGGTGGTATTCCGTCTTCTCCAGGGGCCTTGCTGTTGTTCAGAGAACTGACTACATTGATGATTTCTGTCGTGCTAGGTGGGTCGCAATTGACGTCGTAAATCTCCGAACCGCTTGACTCGTTTCGGCTAGGTTGGAAGCAGTTGTGTCCACCAGCGCCTGTCTTCTCTCAGGTCGTTCCAAGACACAAGGCTTGTAGGCCGAGAATAACGTGGGGTTCTTGAGGGGCGCATTTCGCATTCGTAATCTGCGAGAACAAACATGTTCCTTGGGAGCTATAAAGCTATTTCGAAGGAGGGAACAATCAGCGAACCTATTTGTACGTAGCAACTGTTCAAATATATTTCTAGAAAACTGCCAACCTACATTATTGTAGGAAGTTGAGAGTTGGCAGTATGACTGACGCATCCTAAGGATGTTGTTCTCTGTTCATCTGATTGCTGTTGTCATGTCACCAAAGTGCAATCAATGTCACGTCTGCTGTAAAGGGAGCCAGTTACTTCACTTTACTTTACGTGAGGATAAGTCAACTTGTGGATGTACCAAAGAACTAAAAAAACACCTGGGCGTAAAACAGAACGCGAGAATTTATATCAGTTCATAATCTCAAATATCTTTGATTAGCAGTTAGAGATACAAACCAACATAGCATAATCGTGGAAAAGGATAGGATCAAAAGAACACTCACTTTGACTTTCTCCATATCCATTGGTGTAATGGACAATTCACGGACCACATTTGCGACGGCCTCCACGTTCGTTTGTTGCGGTTTTAATATCTCGTATACTGCATAACAGATAAAACATAAGGTGGTATGTTACGCAATTCCTAAACAGAAACTGAACTTAAAGCTGAAGAGAAAACAGAGACGACCATAAGAAAATGACGAAGTAAAGAAAGCCCAATAACTCACATTGTTTTCGCTGTTCTTCGGATAACTGCTCAATGGCTTCGCTGACCAACAACGAATAAACTGCATTTGAATTCATCAAATAGTTTTTGATGATCCAACTCTGTGATCTAGCAGAGGGGGAGAAAGAGAATCGTACTAGTAATAACTGTAGGACCCATTTCATCGTGTATGGGACAGAAGAAAGGTGAACTGGAAATGTAGCATATACTTACTTTGAATGAAACAAACCGGCCAGCAAGAGCGCGCTTTTGTGTTCCACACTGGGAGCAAAACGAATCCAATCGGTCAGATCCCTCAACCACATGGATGTATCGGGCACTTGATCCAGCCAAGTTGAACCAAGTGTGAACCAAGTTGAAGGTTGAGCAAAATGGGAACCACTGTGTTGTAGACACTGAGCGACAACCAACCACGTGGGCAGACAGTTAGTGTTATTCAAATCAATCTCGTGCGAGGAAGAGCGGGGTTCAGACACGTTATCTACCAACCACTTTGCGGTATCGTGAGGGATCGAAGTAAGATTTGCCGCTTGTATGGATTTGGAGGTAATCAATTCATCTAGGGCGCGTAGCTGTCGTCCACTCAAGGACACCGGAGTGTGCTGACAAAGATCATGGCTGAGAGCCCATTTCTCCAGCGGGTACGCCCGAAAGCTTGGAGTAACGAAGTACGGTGTCAAAACCATCAATTCGTTTGTTTTGGGAAATAAGAGCAGCCCCATTTGAGTGGCCCATTGACGGAGAGAATGCGCAGCAAACAGGTTGCCGGATTTGCCTGCAAGGAACGAGAAATTTAGAAATCACAATTTTCGTAAAACAACAGAAGCAAAAACATCATACATATAATTCAAACTGAGTGCTAATGGCAGGTACAACCTTGTATTACTCATTTTCTGAAATACAAGTTACCGATTGTCATTCTTATGGGAACCAGTGCTGGTCATGGTGCATATGTTTCTGAATTTAAAAACAAAGCAAAAGTGTTTTCTTATTTATCGGTTATCATAGCAGAGGTCTACGAACGGAATTTGTTCAAAGCATATTCAGACTCCAAGCAAATAACGGAGTTTTATTTTGGAAAAGAACAGTAGATAAAAAGTTCTTTCAAAACGACGAAAAACACCATAATACAGAGAGGAATGGACATTCAATGAGAAACATACACAGATCATCTACCGCGTTATGGATGTTTCGCAATTTCTGTAGATGGGAAATACCCTGAAATCGTTTATTGAGAATTTGAATTGGCCAGTATTCAGAAGTCCCATGTTTCCAATGCTCCAGTGCTTTTGCTTTAGAACCGTACTGTTGTATCAAATTTTCCAGCGCACATGCAGCAGTAGTAGCCGTAGAGATAGGCAGGAATGGATTGGCGATCACTGAAAGGGCATACAGTGGACAAATAAATCAGAGTGCGAATTGTGCCTGCTTCTGAACTAATGGTCAGACATCAAAAAAAGGAACGGAAAGGAAAATGGAACTGAAGCTGTTTGTTTTTATCAGCAAGATACGAATAATGTAGGGGATGACGGGTGCCCTGGAATACATTGGATACAGTCACTGTCGAATGGATTTTAGCTACACTTGATATTTATCACTGTTGATTGGTTCTATAATCGACCGATCTGACTGCAGTCGAACGGTTTTCTCCAGGTTGAATCCTAGGGTCTAGATTTCCGGCGGCTTAATAGACCCTCTACACGGACGTGGTTCACATTACACATAATACAGACGTTTGTAAGAAAAATTTAGTCGATTATCTGGAAGCAGAATCCGTTTTGATAAATTACATCAGCAGTGAATTATAGCATATTCCAGTCATTGCCCAACAAATTGATGCACAAGCGTTTTTATGACGAGGAAATCAATTCATCATTTGATCGGTGGTGCAATGTTTGAGTGCGGTTAATAAGCGAAATACTCGTCGGTAAAAGCCAATTCATGATATCACTCATCCCACAACGCAAATGGGTTCTGATTCACAACATCGCAGTTTCGTTCTGTTCAGTTTTTTTCGTGCGCCGGTTTCGGTAGCTGTCTCATGACTATCCCATTCGATGAAGAAGTAAAAGGGACATTGGAATGTTAAAAGCAATGTCAAAGGATACATTGCACATTATTGCTGTTTGACATCAAATTTGGTTTTATTCTTTAAAACAAAATGGTCAGAAGATACCACCTATGATAACATAGCCGTGATGATGTGGATATCGTAAAAGAAAGGAAAGACGCATTAAATGTTTTTGTTTCGACCTACGACACACATCTCATGCACAGGGTTTTTAATTTTCCTCGGTCTCATCTAGAGTTTAGTTAGACCCGACATTTTGGTATTCTGATGTGTGTAGAGCAGAAAAGAGAGCCGGACAGATCTTTCATCCCTGTTGGGACTCATCCGCAGTATATACAGTCTCCGTGTCCCGGNGTCCCGGGACAAGGAAGGAAAAAGCAGCTTTCCAGTGCAATATATTGGCCTTTCCTGCACCATATGATCAACAAATAAATGTAAGTAATCTGTCAAATATCTAACGAGTCAACTTTACTGGACACCAATATTTACATGTTATCACAAAACATTGGTGAATGGGTCAATCGCTTCATTAAAAAGATCAAAGTTAAACATCATTAGAGAATCCCTTAGGACGGACACACGTAAACAAACCTACTTTGTTCAAGAAGACCGAGATTCGCCTCAAAATTGTGATCCAGAAGTGCTTTCATGTTCTGTTGCGTCAGTATCGTCTCCAACATATTACCAAATTGTTTGGAAGAACGATCGAAGTAAGAAGCCATTCCATCCAAGTCTTTACTGCGGGGGAAGAATACAGAAAAGCAGTATATGTACAATAAACTTGGCACAGTACGCTGTGTACCAAGAAGAAAGATAGTGGTAAGACGAANTATTTATTCCGGATTTTAAGTAAAATATGAATTGGAGTGGATTACTCAGAAAGTGGAGCAAGTGATCCACGAGGGTTGCCAGTGTTCAGATTACGGTGTGATTTTTGGGTGAACGGAGCAAAGGTGGGTGGAAACACGAAATAAACCAAATACCTTATCCTCGGCGAAAACATGGACAATTCCCGTTTCCTCACCAGTCGCCATAGCATACATTAGAAATGTATTGAGGAAATCTTGTTAAAAGATACTCAGCAATTTGTCATCAAGCTCATTATACTTTCAAGTCCTATAGTACAGTCATAGGGAGCAGACCGACATGTGGAATGTGTTAAAACTGTTTACTTCCAGCATTTGCTGAGTCTACCAATGAGAAATTTATGAACTGATTTTTGCGCTTAGTTTTCACAAATATCAACGTTGCACTCAAATAGGAAGATCTGGACTGCCTTCGATCGGTTACCCAGTTAAGAAATTGGTAAGGGAGAGAGAAAACAAAAGGAACAATTTCGGTAGTAGACAGCTTCGCTTTCGCCCGGATCAATGCCACACCTAGTGGGGCCCCAAATGGCTCGCCACTCCAAGTTTCGGGGTTTAGATTGTCGGAACCGTAGGTCCCCGTGTATATGGCGTTTACTCCTTCTCCTGTTCATCACACAATAGTGTGGAATAAAAAAGTTAAAAGAACTGAAAATTAAGATATAAACCACTGAAATTAATTAGATGTATGATCGTTACTGTTTACGATATTGAGTCTGGACATCCTGTCTCCAAACATCGATCACACTGATAAAGGAGTTTCGGTTTGAGTTTATACAACCATTAACCACGAACATTCGTGTGACGATTTTGGTTGCTGCCTTTATGCTGCCCATTTAGACAAAAGAGCAGAATGAAGATTGGAATGTTGAGAGCAAATAAAAGCGGATGATAGAGAATTCATAAAACTGAGGTTGCAAAAATAATTAGTAGATGCATGAGCGCTACTGTTTGCGACACCTAGCCATATCGCTGTGTCTCTAACCATTGGTGACCATGATCTCGGAGTTTAACGGGAGCCTAACGGGACCTGTGTGACCCAGTCTCTTGGTTAGAGTTTTCATACCCTTATGCTAGATCCACGTTTGACTGCGCTTGATCTGTTTCCAACCGCGACTTGCCTCGGCAAACATCGCTCGCCGTGGAAACCTACCTGATGACATGCGTAACACATGCCCTATGCATTATGTAGAAAGAAACAAGAAGTGTCACGGGAATGGTGCGACGAAAGGCAACAAACAAGAGCATCCTAAGGTGAGATCGATGAACTTGGTAAAAGGCGAAACCGATGGCCTTGTTTACTTTTCTATTCTATTTGTGGGAGTTAGATATATATATTTCACACCGGCTTCAGGACAAGTATGGTGATAGCGAAATGTTGGTACGAAATCGTTGAAAAGGACCAATTATCAGGAGAATGAAGAAGTACAAGACAGAGAAAGGAACATTTTCACCGCGATAACTGTAGCACTTACGTCATGAGATAAGAGCTGGCTACTTGACCGATGGCACGTAAGGGGTTTGGTAAAATCTGTGCTTCCCACGAGGACCAGAACAATCGTTC